AAAATAGAAATTGTATCTCATTAAAATCATGAACTGCTTGCTGATAGACAGCAGTAAGAAAATAAAAAGGTATATGCTGAGGACATATCTGACAAAGAAGAATGGACATAGAATATAGGAATAAAAGGAAAGCTATAAACATTCATATTTAATATTTTCAGAAGTGTCCCACAAAAAAGCACACTTTATCATTTTATTTTTATGACTATAAATAAAAAACAAATCTGGATTGGTGAGATAATAAATAGGAAGGTGTATGTAGAACTTTCTGGAATAATACCTGTGTGCTATATCCTAATAGAGGCTTTGGGTTGCCAAACTGGGACAATTATCAGAACGGATCCAGGAGTAGAAGATGCTACACAGTGATAAAAGTGCTTGCTTGGCTGGGCACTGGTGGCTCACGCCTTTATTGCTAGCTAATCTGGAGGCTGAGATCTAATGACTGGGGTTCAAAGCCAGCCCAGGCAGAAAAAGGCCATGAGACTTTTTATCTCCACATCAATCACCCACCTAAAAACTGGAAGTAGAGCTGTGGCTCAAAGTGATAGAGCGCTAGCCATGAGCAAAGGAGTTCAGGGAGCCAGTGCTCAGACCCTGAGTTCAAGCCCCCATGACGGACCAAAAAGAAAAAATGTGTTGCCACTAAAAACAAACCAAGTGAGTAGCTTATACCTGGAATCCTGCAATTCCAGCTACTGAGGAGATCTGAAGTACAAGGCCACCCTAAGCAAAACAGTTTACAATCCCCTACACGTCAACAGAGAGAAAGCTAGACATGTCAGTACATACCTGTCTTCCACTGCCTGGAGACAGCCAGAACCAACGCAAAACACATCTCAAAATGAACAAAGCAAAAGGGCTTAGAGAGGTACCTCAAGGGCAAGAGAACTGCCTACAAGCATGAAGCCCCGAGTTCAAACCTCAGTTCTGAGAAAATACAACCAACCAAAACACTCACGCAAAAGATCCTGGCATTTCACTATGCGCAAAATACATTTCAAAACAACTAAACAAATATGGATTCTAAGGACATACTTGAGTATTTCAGAGGCAATGTGAACTTGCTTGAAACTTAATTTGAATGATACTGATTAGTAACCAGATAACATATATATCTGCTATAGCAAATTTAGCATAATATTTATTATACTTCTAACTTTTAAATCTTGTTTTTTAAACTTTTCATTAAAAAACAAGTTTGGGAAGTGGCACTGTGGCTCAAGTGGTAGAGCGCTACCCTTGAACTGAAGAGCTGAAAGACAATGCCCAGGCCCTGGGTTCAAGCCCTACAACCAAAAAAGGAAACACGTTTGGGACAAGGAGAAGCAAAGCAGATCTGTCCAGATCTGTCCATTGTGCCGCAGGACCTGCTATCCAGCCAGGCTCCCCTATAGGCAAAGCAGCTGGTGCACGGTCCTGCTCACATCATCACCAGGAGACCTTGCCCATATCACCAAGAGATCCTGCTCACCCAGTGAGAGCAATGGCACCGGTAAGTTCTCACATAGGAGATGACCATTCACTCCCAGAGAGCCATTGGAAAGATCACAAGCCAGTGGGCTGGGAAGGTGGCTTAGTGGTAGAGTGCTTGCCTTGTATGCATGAGGCCCTGGGTTCAATTCTTCAGCACCACATAAGCAGAAAAAGCCGGAAGTGGCGCTGTGGCTTAAGTGGTAGAGCGCTAGCCTTGAGCTGAAGAGCTGAGGGAGGACAGTGCCCAGGCCCAGAGTTCAGGTCCCACAACTGACAAAAAAAAGCCAGGATGAGCCAGGGAAGGAAGTGGGAGAGCCCACATCTAGTGGAAGACTCAGAAGTTCCTGCAGGTGACCTTTGGCTACTCCTACCTACAGTTAATGCTGTAAAGAATGCCTTCAATTTCCTAAGTCAGAACCAAAAAGCCTCACTGCCCCCAATTCTTTAAAAACATGGGCCCCAAACCTGTATTAAGCTCATAAAGCACCTCAAATGAGATGGCATTTTCTCTTGCCAGTTGCTGGCAAGTTGCTTTACCGTAAGAAACTAGCACCAATTTAGGAACTCGAGGAACAGCTGGTCCCGGGCTACTCGAAAAGACCTACAACTCAGATATCTGCTCGGTAGCACTCATGCTGCCTGAGCTACCATAGTCCCAGGGACCTTCACTTAGGCCTTCCCAGGAAACAGCGCATACAGCCTCAGCAGTCACCTCATCTAGGCTCCACTGTGCTGACACACACCTCTGGTCTGTTTCTATCATAAATGTCACTTAAAACACTGTCCAGCTGGCCTTTGCAGGTCTGTCACAATGTTGGCCTATTTCCTACATTTCTATTGCAAACTTTCCTTTTTCTTTGTTCTGGGTTTGTTTCATCCCTATGTTTTTCCTTGCCACCTTAAGTCCAAGTCACCCTCAAAAACAGCAAATGCACTGCTGCTTCTGTGAGGTCTTCTCAATCCGTTCCTTTCGCATTACTTCTGAAATATATTAATCTTATCTAATACCGTGTTCAATTACTCATTACATATATGTTATATGTCTCTCTAAGCGTGAATGTCCTGTTGACCAAGTCTGTGGAACACACCTGTAACTGGATCCACAGTACTTCATAGTATTGTCCTAGTGCTAACTGGCCTATGGACTTCAATGCCTCCTGATAGGATTTCAGATTCATGAATCCATTCCAGTCATTTCTAATGTTTATCTCCTGCTTCTACTTTTTAATAAAGTAAGTTCCTCAAAGTCAAAAATTTCTTTTTATATATTCTAAATCTACCTTGATATTACAGCCTTAAAAACTGTCCCATCAGCAGGGCACAGGTGACTCATGCCTGTAATCCTGGCTGCTCAGGAGGCTGAGATCTGAGGATGGAAGTTCAAAATCAAGATCAAAATCATCTCCAATTAAGCACTGTTGCTCAAAAGCTCAGGGACAGTGCCCAGGCCCTAAGTTCAAGCCCCATGATCTCTACCACCACCAACAAAAATGGTCCCTTCTAAAATCCTGCCATGTTATAAGTTCTTGAGAATATTATGTTAAGTGTCTTCAAGAACATTTTGTGAAGTGAAGCAAGCAAGACAAAAACAAACACTATACTATTTCACTAAAAGTTTATCTAAAAGTTTAAATTGTAGAAACAGAGTGGAATAGTAGATGTTAGGGCCTAAGAAGGAAGTAAGGAATGCTTTTCAAAAAGTTAGAGCTTAAAACACCTGAGTTAATTTCTTGAGATCTGCTATACAACATCAGGCTTGCCTATAGTTAACAATGGGTTGCAAACTTAAAATTTTATCAGGATTGATCTCAGGTGAAGTGTTCTTACTACAACTAAAAATATCTTTCATCATAGTGTTTTGAGACAAGTCTCCTCTTAACCATATTTACTGATCTGTCAGCATATTTTTACATAATTTTCTATAGACAGGTCTGTAACTATAGCTTCATCTTCTGTCATTGTATTTTAAATCTAAGAACGGAATTTTTTTAAAATTATATATATATTTTTTTCCCAGTCCTGGGCTTTAACTCTGGGCCTGGGTGCTATGTCTGGGCTCCTTTTGCTCAAGGATAGCGCTCTACTACTTGAGCCACAGCACTACTCTGGCTTCTTCTGTGATTAATTAGAGGTAAGAGTCTCACAGACTTTTCTGGCCAGGCTGGCTACGACCCATGATCCTCACATCTAGGATTACAGGTGTGAGCCACCGACTTCCAGACAAAATAATATTTTTTAATTTCTGATTCCATTGGAATTTTCAGAATACTGAATATAAAGTCACTATTGTAAGAAAGTAAATTCCAAATCTGTGCTGCTAGCCCAAACCTAAGTTTCATACAAATAGTTTAGGCTGTATTTTAATCACTAAAGATATTATTCTACATTTGCTATCTTTAAAAACCTTCAGCCTTTTAATCTAGCCTTTTATTTTCCTATACTGTACCCAAAGGAGGTTAGAATCTAAGAACTTGAAATAATTTGTCACTAGCAAATCTGGAGACTTCAAAACGTGCTCTCTTCTCTGAAATATGTATTTAAAATATTTCATAAAGGTGAGCTTACATATCTTCACTATTTTAGAACTAAAATGTGGATCATGAATAAACAATTTCAAAATATTACCAGTAAAGTTTCGAGAAGAGGTATGACATGCCTGTATACATGTTCTAAGAAAGAGAAGCTAAATCTAGTAAAGTCTTGACATTTATAAGGAACATTAAAAATATGCAACCAGAATAATGCAACTGAAGTACTATTTTTTAGAAAATGGCTTTGTGAAATACTTTTTCCTACCGGTCCTCTGGCTGACAGGTTCATCTTCATGAAGATTATAAAAACATGTCCATGTTCTTCAAGCCATTCATTTTATTTACTTATTTTGGATTTGACCTCAATGCCTTGAACTTGCTAGGAATTCTACTCCCTGAGTTATGCCTCCAGCCTTTTTAAAACACTAGACCACTATTTTCAACTAGTAGTAAAGCAAAACTAAAAATAAGTTAACACACAAAAGGGACTTACTGGAAGCCTCCTAAAGGCAAATAGTTCCTTCCATTTCTAGGATACCTACAGGAATACTAATACCTCTTGATTAAGTACCATCTCAACATTAACTACCACAAACCACATCCCTAGTCAAAAAAGCAAAGGGAGGAACTTAAGTGAAATTGATCACACAATAATTTAACAGATTTAACACCGCATCAGTTAATTCTCTTCCTTTGGACTTTTAAAGTATTTAAGACACATAGTAATTTCAATAGATCCCATATTGCTTCAAGAGACAAGATTTCAAGAGACTCAATATTGATGAATCTTAAGTGCGTAATATTTCACCCCAGGATTAAGACATCAGTTTGACTACGTTAGAAAAGTGAGTTTATTCTAAAATATCTAAACATAGAATATAAAAATAACACACAGTGAATTCACCATTTAAACAACTTATAAAATCTTACTGAGATGACTACCAACAAAAAAAAGTTGAAACTTGTAAAAAAAAAAAAAAAAGACAAACTTACTTCATTTCCATGTTTTTGCAGGAATTCAATTTCCTGTTGTGTAAATGTTGTCATAGAGATAGATTTCACCCTGTGTGGTGGATTTAACCCTCTCCTAAAAGATAAAATATTTTGCAAAATTTACTACTATACATTTCCAAAATCACAATGTAATTTACATTTTTAATTCACACTTATAATTCCTAAAGCAAAACTGTAAGTTTGGTTAGATTCATACTAATATATTTAAAGATAAATTCAACTAACCTCCTAGTAATCACATAGCATTTACAATATTCAATCTAGAAAACATGAATATTATTTGTGTAATTCTGATGGAGAGTAAAGACTAGATGAAGAGCACGATGGTAAACAATTTAAAAACAGTGCTGGCTTGTTCTGCTTATGTGGTGCTGAGGAATCGAACCCAGGACCTCGTGCAAGGCAAGCACTCTACCACTGAGCTACCTTCCCAGACCCATAGAACATTTTCAATCACTTAACATACAGTAAATGTTGAAGAAGAAACCAGAACAAAGGAGGGGGTAACAATGCTCAATAGAAAATGTACTCATTACCTTACTCATGTAACTGTAACCCCTCTAACAGTATTTTTACAATAAAAAATATATATTAAAAAAAAGAAGAAACCAAAGCGACAAAAAGATTCAAGAAGTAGCTGGACACAAAATTCAGTGACATTTAAATGAACAATTAATTACAATTTATTTGTGATCACATATTAAAACTCTAAAGATTACTTATAAATTTCCAAACATGGATCATTATTCATTTAAAGCCGTTAACACTGTTTTCCAATGTACTATAAGAACAAGACTACAGGGGCTGGCAAGGTGGCTCAGTGGTAGAGTGCTTGCTTTGTATGCATGAGCCTGGGTTCAATTTCTCAGCACCACATAAGCAGAAAAAGCCGGAAGTGGCGCTGTGGCTCAAGTGGTAGAGCACTAGCCTTGAGCCGAAGAGTTCAGGAACAGTGCCCAGGCCCAGAGTTCAGGACCCACAACCAGGAAAAGCAAAAAAAAAAAAAAAAAGAGCAAGACTACATTCTTTGACTTTGGGGAAACTTTGTTAATTTATTATATATGTATGTGTATATGCATATATATAATATACCCTACCTTCTCTAAAACAAAGTAAAAGGGAATTCCCTTACTACTGTTCTCTCACACGCTGCTTCTCCTCTCAACTTTGTCTCTGACCCCCTAACATCTACTTCATGTTCCAAACAATCCTTTATCTTTTCATCCTCCTTGCAATAGCTTTGATTTTTTAACTATTATTATAAAGATGATGTGTGTATCATGTCAGGTAATGAGTACATTTCTTTTTGGACAATATCACTCTTCCTTCCTTCTCTCCCAGTTGCTTGCAACAGCTTCAAAAAAAAGGCAAAGGAATAACTTTCTGTGAGAAAGAAATTATAGTATTACAAAAGATCTATGTTTTAGAGAAAAATTTAAGGCAAAAGCATTATACACATTGGAATGTGTTCAATGTTCAGTGTTCAATGAGGCAGGCAAGCTAGTTTATACCTATAACCTAGCTACTAAGGAGGTTGAGATTATGAGGATCTTAGTTTGAGGCCAATAAAGGTCACAGACTCCATCTCAACCAACACAATGCTGGGTACAGTTGCTCGTGCCTGTCATCTTATTTCTTTCTGTCTCTAAGATGTCTGTGAAGTTACATCAAAATGGTTCTAAGTGTGGATTTATCCCAATTCTGAAAAGCAGCTGTGGTCTTATTGCTGCCTTTTGTTAGAACTGGAAAGTTTCAGCTATCATCTCTTCAAACTACATTTCTCAGGCTGACCTTGAATTTTTAATCCTCCTGCCTCAGCCTCTTAAATGCTGGTATTCAAACCCAGCTTGAGTAATTATTTTTAATTGCCTAATGTCTCTAAGTTTTCCACAATGACTACATATTATTATATAATTAGAATAGCAACAAGAGAAGTCCAAACTGACTGGTGGTGGTGACAATCAAAAACTTTTGCAAAAACTATTGCATTTTTAGTCCTGGCTTTATGGATGTGAGTACCTGATGAAAGCGTGCAAGTCTTGCTAAGGCTTTCTTTCAACTTCCCTGAAACCTAAAGATCCTTCCTCCCTAGCTGATAATTCCCACCCACCAAGGACTGACACTTGGAATGTTATGGGGGCTGTTCTTGCATGGTGGGATGTGAAGCAGCAGACTCTGCCTCTATTCACTGTCAGGAGCACTTCCCTGCAAGAAGTGGCAATCAAACATGTTTCCGGACATTGCCCAATCTCCCAGGGAAGACAGCCCTTCTAGTTGAGAGCCACTGTTCTTAATAGGACAAACATATTAATTACCTAGAACTGAGACTGAGTCCTCTGTTGATATGTAAATTCTACCAAGGCATGATCTCCTCCAAAGTACTCTACTCTTCCATGCCACACAAAACCATTTTTTTCTATAACTTTACACTCAGCATAACAGAGCACAACAGACAAAGCAAATACATAAATTTTAAATGTAGTAGTGCGTTTAAAATTTTAATTGCAAACAATGCTTGATAAGAAATGTACTCATTATCTTGCCCATGTAATTGTAACCCCTCTGTACAGTATTTTCACAATAATAAAAAAAAATCTTGAAAAAGCAAAAAAAAAAAAAAATTCAAGGGCTGGGACCTAGCTCAAGTGTGTCTAGCAAATATGAGGCCCTCAGTTCAAACCCCAGTACTGAAAAAAGTCTCAGTCCTTATGGCCTTAGAGCGATATGTCATTTTGTTTTTCAACTATATTTACAACATAAACATTGTCAAACTAAAAACCCAAGATAAATAAGTCATTGTCTTAGCTATTTTCAGAGAACAAAATTAAAGATGTAACCTGAGATTTAAAAAAAAAATGTATTCTTTACCTGACTTATGTAAACCCCCATGTATATCACCTTTATAATAACAATTGTAAATTTTAAATTCCATTTTCCTTCCTTAAAAAAATTTTTTTAATTGCAAAACAGTAAAAGAGGCATTCACAACAAACAACTAAGTATGAACTATATGATGTATAATAGCTAGTCACCAGATATAAGTTCACAAGGCAGAAGAAAATTATTAATTATATTCATGCTGGCAAGTCTACATATTTAATTTCCTTTTAGGTCAAAAATACTAAAAAAGGTTTTTGTTGAAAAACAAAAGAAAAAAACAAAAGAAATCAGTAGATAGAGAAAAAAAAGAAGGTAGAATTAGTCTTAATCCTTTATTGAACAAGAAAGAACTGAGGGAAAATGGAGCATTTGAAGAGATAATAACTGAAAATTTCCAGAACTAAAAAAGGCAGCAATAAGACATGGGCATCTTATCAAAACTGGAATAAAAGCCATACTTACGGACACATTTTGGTGTAACATCACAGACAGATCTTAAGTCAGAAAGAAAAGACAAAAACAAAAATCTTGACAGACAGTTCACTTAAGGGAACATTAGCACATTATCTTCAAGTGGCAAAAAGTAGCAACTATTGAGACCCAGAGAAGCTATTTTTGCACTAATACCAAAATAGTGATTTTTTTTTCAGATTAAAAGAAAAAAAAAACAACCTCGAGTTTACCCCTGAAATTTTCACTGAAGAAACTTAGATTGTATGTATTTTAAAAAGAAAATGAGGGCAAAGCACAGTGGCTCACACCGATAGCCCCAGCTACTCAGGAAGCCTAGATAAAAAGGATTTAAGTTGAGGCCTGCCCAGGCAGGAGAGAAATAGCTAAAGCCCCATTTCAACCAATATGCTAGTGTGTTCCTGTCAGCACAGTTTCTGGGGAGGCACAGAGGAGGCCTTTTCCCAAGGCCTGCCCTGGCAAAAACAAGTATGACACATTATCTCAATAACTAAAGAAACAAGGCTGGGGGTGTGTGGCTCAAGTTGTAGCACTTGGGTGCAAGACCTGAGTTCAAATCTCAATACTGCCAAAAAGGAAAAAAAACTCCAAAGAAGTTTTCAAGTGACCTCAGGTAAGCAAAGAAACTAGCAAACAAGCAAATCCAACCAAACAATATCCGATCACAATAATGTCCCAAATTTGCCAACAATAGTACTTAAGAAAGGCAGCTGGTATTTTTAAGGATGTTATATTGTTAGAACATTAATGCTGATTAGTTCTAGATTGTAGAATAGTACAATTTCAATAGGGACTATAAAATAATACAGAATTTTCAACTTCCAACCCAGTATAACAGGGCAACTCAAAACAAAACTTGTCAATGTTTCAATAAAATTAAATGTACACTTGCCATATATCATCTAGCAATTCCACTCCAAGATACTTGAGTGAAAAAAAAAATCTATGTTTACCCCTTGTACACCAACATTTATAGCAGTTCTATTCATATTCATTAGAAGCGAGACACAACTGGGCTGCTTCACAATTGGAGAATGGATAAATAAGCCACCTTGACAATAAGGAGGAGCAAACTATTGAGATACAACCAACCAGAGTCAATCTTAAAGGCATGCTGAGTGAGAACAGGCAAACTGGAAAAGTCGACTCCCTTTACTTTTCTCAAAAAAGCAAATTTACAGTCTTGGGGAACCACAGTACTTGTCTGGGATTAGGAAAAACAAGAGAGAGCCATGACGAGCATTTTCAGGGCAACGGAACAGCTCCATGTCTGATTTTAGTGGAAGTTACATGAATCTATACAAGTTAAGATTCAAAGAACTATACACCCAAATAGTTTATTTCAATGTATGTTAATTTTTAGAAATTAAAAAGAAACTGAAGCCCTGAGTCAATATTACTATCTATATAACCACAATTTTTATATTAATGTCTTTTTCCTCATTTGAAACCCATCTTCTTTTCTTTACCTACCAAATTCTGTTCAATCTTTAATAGATCAAGACTGAAATCAGATTATTTTTTAACATATTTTCACAGAAACTGATATTCCTTCTCTTTATAGCTAAACCTAATGGAGCTACCATGTGAATCCAGTGTTTATAAAACACTTTACTGTAGTGATATTAGTCATAACTATTTGATGGAAGTACTGGGCAAGTAAACCACAGCATTTTTACAAGACCATCCATTCCAAATCCCAAAGTCTCAAGTTTTGTGTAA